GCTCCCCCGGCCAGTCCTGCCGCCGCCACCGCCTCCCGCTCCTCCTCCCTGCGCCAGCGGTCCTAGCGCCTCCGCGCCGCGAGCCTCCCCGCCCCGGGGAAACTGAGGCACCGGCCCTGCCCGCCAGGACCTCGCGCCGGCCCCCGTTTGCCCCTAGGGACCTGCCCGGGCCGGGGCTCCCTCCGCAGGGGGGTCTTGGAGCTTTGCCTTGGGGGCCCAAGGCTGGGTCGCACCCTGGCAGAGAGGGAGCAGGGTTTTTACCCCACCTGGGGCAGCCTCCGGACAGCGGCCGATGCCCCTTTGCTCCAGGACCGTGCCCGATCCCCTGGCGAGTCTGGCTGAACGCCCCGCGTCCGCCGGGCGAGGGCCACCCTTAGCGACCCGCTGTCCGAGCGACCCCCTCCTTCTTGCACCGCCTGGGAGGCGATACTAAAGCCCTATTGACTTTCTCTTCCCCCCCCCTCAGTATTTTGTAAACCCTGATTACGCATCTCTCATCTCAACAGAATAGGCCGAGCCTCTTTAATGGCTCCTTGCAAAGTCCCCAGCGGCTAGGGGAAGGTCCTGTCGCTCCCCCCAGTGCTGTCACATCTCAGTCCCACAGCCCTGTTGAGCCGGCCCGGGCCCCGGCCCCTTGCGCTGGGACGCCATCTCCTCCCTGAGCAGACGGTGTTATACAGCCGGGAGGTGAGGGCAAGCCCTTGCTGGACCACACGGAGCTGAATCCTGATCAGCCACCCCTGATCTGGGGAGATTATAAATAGCAGAGACTGTGGGAGCTGCCTCGCTCCAGGGTCTCGCTGGCTGAGTGCCCACTGCAGGTTCAGGATGCACAGCACCGGCCCGACTTGCTCTTGGCCTACCCAGCCCCGCAGGCCCAAGGCCGGCCTGGCTGGGGTGAGACAGCTGCGTGCAGGACGGGCCCTTGCTGTTGCTGCCATGTCACGCGTTCCTGTGATGATCCCCTTGGCTACCTGCTCTGCGAGTGTGGTTGCCATGGCAGCACTGCGAGCTCCCCCACAGATCTCATTCTCCTGTGGGTGATGCATTGGCAAAGCTGAAGATGGCAAATGGCAACCATCTCACCAGGAAAGCCCTTCTTCCCTCCCCTCCCTGTGCACACAGCTGCACCCCCCTGCAATGGGGCAAAGGGGCTGGGGAGGAGAGCTGCCAGTATCTGCAGAGCTGCAGGCACACCAAGCACCCTGCTCCTCGGATGACAACTCATGCCAAGGCAGGGGGGTCTGGAGCCTGGAACTCGAGAGGATCACGAGGACAGCTTTCCAGGAACCGCAGAGCGCATTCATTGACTTAACAAGTTGGGGGAGGAGGGGGAAGGGAAGCAAGCAAAAAGCAGCAAGCCAACTCCCTGCAGCAACCACCCATTTATCCATCAGTCCCATAATGATCTATGTGGGGAGTCTGTATCTGCACCTGTGGGGACCCGGAGGCCCAAGAGTTCAGACCAGTTTGTAGTCACCCTGCAAGCAGACCTAGGGTTTGACCTTGAACTGAGGTCACCAAAGGGCCAGATGTGGGCACTGGCCACTTAAGAAACACCACCTCTCAGGAGTGCCTGCCCTGGTGTTCAGAAGAGGGACTGAAGATCAGGACTCCTGGGATCTATTCCTAGCTTGGTGTGGTGGGTAAAGAAAGGGATTGCAACTCAGGCCTCCTGTTTTCCTTTGTCAATGATTGAAAGAGCAATACTAACCCCCATGGGATGGCATTTCCTCATCTGTGAAATGACAGGGATGGTCATAAACTTGAGGGGAAAGAGGAGACTTAGCTTCATAATGCCTGTAAGGAGCCCAGCACCCCTTCGAAGCCACCAAGGGATACAGATCTGAGGCAGGGTCCCAGCCTTCCTGAAACTCACTCACCTGGCACTGAGTGCGCTGCTAGCACCTCGGCAGTAGATATGGGCAAGTGCAACCCTGTGTGTTCCAGGAGTTTGGTAGCGTTATTGTTGAACAGGCTTTAGCTGTGCTTCATTTGGGGCTACCTTAGTATGATACATTCATAAATGCACCTAAGATCCATACAGACTCATTAGCCCTGGGCGGAGGGGATGCCATAGAAGAAAACGGTAGCTGCCTGCAGTATCTTGTTTACGTGTATCATTCACCGATTTCACAATCCACCCCGTGCACTGCGCTCACTTCCAGGTCATTAAGAAGAACAGGACACACACAGGCAGGTGCTCAACTCATCTATCTACTGTCAGCTCACAGGACCATGTACTGAACTCACCTGCCGCTAGGCAGTTCTGATGTCTCAAGTAAAGCAACAGCATGTGCACCTTGGCTGACATCAGACACGTTCAGCCAAGGCCAGCCCCTTCTTAATGAGCAATATTGCCTGGTGGTGGCTCTGAAAGGAAAGGCAGCAGGAAACCCATTGTAGTAAGAGCAGCAGAGGAGGACTGTATTTAAATGGTTAGTGTTCCCAGAGAAAGGGGCCAGCAGCTCGGTCAGGGATCCTCTTTCCTGTATCTTCATCCTCAGTGACTGCACAGAATATCCACTGTCTAACTGCCCGGGGTGTCTCACAGCTGTGATTAGAGCCTCTCAGCCCTACTTTCATACAAATACAGTTCCTCCAAGGCCAGGCGGCAGGGTAGGGGCAGAGAGAACAGAGGCCAGGGCTCCTGTCTATTTGACTCCCAGTCCAGTGCCTTTTCTGGGTTGGATTTCACCCCCCTCTCTGCTGGAGTGATGTCTCCACTCCCAGTCCGTAGTCTCCTGCCCAAGCTCAAGGTCACCATGCAAGATCTCTGCTTCCCAAATAAGCCTTACTCAAAAGTGTAATGCCCTGGAGGCAGGGCCTGTGTGCTCAGTACAAGGGGGCCTTGGACTGAGCTGGTACAGGAATGCAAAGGACAGCAGGAGGTGCAAACCAGTTTCCTTCCACTTCATTCCTGGGAAGCTGCCCTCCCACCCCAGGGCTTGACAGCAAGCTTTGAGAACAGCCTCCTTGATTCACAGGCTGAAACCAGCTGCTGGGTCATACTGATGGCAGAATCAGGCTGTCTCCGAGAAAGCTAAAAGTCAAGTGATGATTGACTCCAGCAGGAAGGGGATCCAGGCCTAAGTGCTGAAGACACTTGGGCCATTCATTGTTTCCACAGACAGATGTGACATTCTCCCCTGCCATGTGGGCGAATCTGTACCCAGGGAGCTGAACACGGACCACAGCCAGTACTCTCCGTCTCTGAATTCCTTTCCCTCAGACAACAGGCTGCTGTGCAACTCCTCTTTCTCCAGGGGAACCACATGCCTTAACTTCCAGTCTGGGCTCAACAGGCCCTGCCAACGCAGCAGAGGGGAGAAGGGCATGGTGGAAGTGAGGGGCTCTGCCCCAAACAGCCAGCCTGTAGCAGAGCCACTCCCCAGGGAGGCAGGAGTGGGGGAGCTGACTGCACTTGCCAGCTGACACCTGCTTAAATTTAACTGAAGATCCCAGGGCATCATCCAGGAGCTGTGAAGTGCTCCCCTTACAGGACATCAGATCAGGTTGCACTTTAGGACAAGGCTGGCATTTCCAGACAGACTGAGAGCTAGGAACAGCCCCTGGTGTCAAGGTGACCTGGTGCTGTTGAATGAGTGGTACCTTGGGGCTCCCCCTTGTGGCCTGGGAAATGCCTGTAAGAATCCTGCCTCAGTTTCCCTCTCAATTGAATAATCCCTCACACGCAACGGATTCTCCCCCTGGGGTGGTCTCCAGTCCTACCCTCCCCAGTCTCTCCACTTCTACCCCAAATCAGGATCTCCACAGCCTCCCTCACAGGATCATGGTCTAGCCCTGGCCTCCCAGGAACTCATCTCGTCCTCACAGCAGAGCCCAGGACACCAGTGCTCCCTGGGAGGGCAAGGCAGCCCCATTGTAAGGGATACAGGAGGAGAATATATCCATCCTGTACCCATAACTCAACTAGGGCTGGCTAGGAGGGGAGCTTTGCCCCACTCAACAAAGCTCATCAGTCCAGGCCCTTAACGAGGTAGTAGCCTGGATATCTTTCCCTCTTACTGCCCCTCCAGCACTACTGGGGGACGTGGAACCATATCCTCTCTGAGTAGTGCCTCTATTCTTCCCTCAGCTGTCACCTGCTCCCAAACACCTGGAGCTTAAAGGGCTGCATCATGGAGCAGGTTTTGTCTACATCCTGCTCCCTGCTAGAGACAAACCAGGGCTGGATGGCAGGAGAATCCAACTTGATGGGCAAGTTAAACCAAAGGCTCCCTTAACCAGCCTGCTCCATCTCCTCCTGTCGCACAGCCATGAGGGAGCAGGCAGAGACCCAAGCTGCATGTAGGCAGGGCACATGGGCTGCCCGAGCATGGATTATTACAGGAAATGGCTGAAGGAATGCTAGTCATGTGTCGCGAAGGAACGCTGAGAGCAGGAGTTTCTGCAGGAGCAAGCATCTCGCCCCCCTCCCCACACACACGCACACAGGCCTGGAGTCTCAGCAGCAGAATCTGTGATGATGAAGACTGCTGAAGGACAGCAGCAGGACCCTGTGGGACATTTCTGACTGAGCCCAGACAAATAAACTCCTCCAGTTTGCACAAATGCTGCGAGATCAGAAAATTTAAAAGGACTTTATTAGGTCCAGGTGCTTTGGTATTAATCCAAGGGCACTTGGTAACAAAGGCAACACAAGGGCCTGAAGGGGACCCACCCAGGAAAAAGGGACAGAATCAGGCCCCAGGGCCTTCCCCTGCTGGATGCCAGGGTGGCTGTGCTCAGCTCCAGTTAAATAAATACCTGCAGGATTAAAGTGCTATCGATTCAGGGTACTATTGGGGCTGGCGCCTCTTCTGCAGCAAAAAGCTGCCAATGCCACTGAAGTCCACAGCAAGCCACTGCCTCTCTGAGAATTCAGGCTGTGGAGGTCTCAGGTCATGGGGCAGGCTAGGACACTGCAAAGTGCTTGGAGATGCATGTTTCTCAAACTCTTAGAAAGGTAAGAATGCAAGGACAGCAGGAGGTGCAGACCAGTCCTCACCCCTAAGTGCCCAGATCAGAGCATGAGGTCAAAACTCCCCGCGTTTGGAAACAGAGAATTGAGATAAGAAATGTAAACTTCAGCTTTTCAGCCCACAATGCAGAGTCTGAATAAAAGCGCACTTTCTAATGTGGCTGGCACCAGGACAGTTGCTGCCCTGACTGGGAGATGAGGGAGTAACGTGGCCTCTTGTCTCAGGTGAATAGCAGAGCAGGCACCACCCTGCACCTGATAACAAGCTGTTTCCTTCTGCTTGGCTGAGTCCAAACAAGAGGAAGCTTTAGAAGGAAACTGAAGGAAGCATCAGAGCATTGAAAAGTCATCACCCCCCGTTTTGTTTCCGGTAGAGGAAAATCACCCACACAAGTCTTGTGTACTGCTTCATGCAAGACCATAGGAACCAGTGTGGCTCAGAAACCCCAACGGAGATCAGGACCCCCGTGCGCTAGGTGCTGCACATACATATGGTAAGAGGCTTGCGGTCTAAAGAGACAAGACCTAGGGTGGAAGGGAGAGATACTACATGCAAGTAGAAGAGTTGAAATGGGAAGAGAGACTAAGGCCCCAAGCCCAATGCCCACTGAAATAAATGGGAGTCTTTCCACTGACCTGGATCAGGTCCTAGATAACTTGTCCATGGTCACACAGGGAAACTGAGGCAAAGCTAGGATTTGACCCCCACCCCCTCTTGAGTCTCAGGCCAGTGCTCAAATAGCAAGACCATTCTTCCTTCCAGGCTCGAGGGCACAAGTGAACTTTGAGTGGGCCATGGCCTTTGCACAGCACAGTGATGAATTCCAGCCCAGAACAGGTCTTGACTTAACCCCAGAACAGATCCAGTCCCAGGCCTGCCACCTGTTGCTGCATGGAGACCTAAATGTTTAATACAGCACTGAATATTCATCCTGGTATCAAAGATTAAAACGTTTCCGAGGCAGCTCCGAGGGCCAGGGCTCAGCACACCGAGGGCCTGTGAGATGCAGGCTCTCTCCAGCTGAGACCTCGAGTGCCCTGAACTGCACCCTGGGGTTTCTCTGCCTTCCTCCAGCTCAGCACCTGGCCTGAGCAGAGACCAAAGATCAAACCTGCAGAGAGGCCAGGCCCTGTGGTGCTAGGCTCCAACACAGACAG